ATATTTCCTATACCCTTGCTTAATGCATGTTAGCTATTTGTATTGCCACACACAAAAGAAGTTGTTCTCTTCTAATTTCTAATATTTAATTTTGTAGAATGTTCATGAAGAAGTCTTACAAGAATATCAGAAGATAAAGCAGGTAGGTGTCGTCACTATTAATTTTTTAACCTGTGGTTGAAAAATGTTGCAAATTCTGCAACCTCATTCCTCACTGGTTTCTTTGTTTCACCTGCAGTCTAGTCCCAATTACCATGAAGAAAAATACAGGTGTGAATATCTTCATAACAAGCTGGCTCACATCAAAAGGCTAATAGGTGAATTTGACCAACAGCAAGCAGAGTCATGGCACTAGAACTCTGCTTGGACCAGAAGATGTGAATAAACTTAAGCTTATTTATTTCAAATTCCAAATGAGTTGCTCTAGATTCTAAAAAGGTGAAACTTTGGCTGTTGTGAAGTTTCAGTATTAGTAAACTTGAGTTACTTTTTCTTTTCCATTTTACTTTGCTTCCCTGCATTTTGAAGCTGCTCTTTCTGGTCCTCCCCCATCTCGCCCCCAAGACTTGTGTTTGTTAATAGAAATAATTTTTTTGGTATTGGGGATCCATTGTCTATATTTCAAATCAGTTTTTTCTCCTCAAAAACTTGTGTTTGTTATTAGAAATGATTTTTTAGATATTGGGGATCCAGTGTCCACACTTAAAAGTTGTATGTGTTTTAAAAAAAAAAAAAAAACAACAGTAATGTGCAAGGTGAAATGCTTTTGGATAAACATAAGCCTATTTTTGACCTTTCTTAATGCAAACTCTTTGCCTTAAATGGTAGAATATTTAGAAATTTGCACAAAATTTTAAAAATAAACATTGTCTTGGAGGGTTAAAAAAATAGAAAGGTGTATATGTGGATTCACATACACATATGTATATACAGGCTGACTTGATCTAGAACATTAAATCTGCCCTGCAAGTTAACCCCCCATCGCAATGGTTGCCTTAAGGTGTTTGCTAGTTGTGTACATAGTGTGGTTAATCATTAGCTACACTGCTTCCCACTTGATTAGAGCAATGGGAAGCATATTGTGGCCTACCAGCATCTGGAAGTGTGTGCTCGATCTGTATGTGTGCAGAGGTGGTGTGGATGTGAGCGTGCATGAAGGAAAAAAAGCTGCTACTCTAAGTAGGCCGAACGCTCAGGTTAAACAACTGACGAGTGTTACTGTAGGGTTTTGTTTTGTTTTTTTTCCTATCAAATTGCTACTTCTTTTGTGGAAGACAAAAGCATTTCCATTTCAACGAGTTTGTCAGCTTTAATATTGTTGGGCAAAAATTGACACGTCATGAAAATGAAACAGATCTATAGTTTTGGGGCAAATTATAAAATTAAATGTGCAGGTAACCTATTTATATACTGCTATAAAGTATTTTTTGAAGAGAGATATGCAAAGAAGCTATTACCTACATAAGATGTATATTTAAAGATTTTTTTCATCCTGGTGCCAGGAATATAAAAAGAGTGGATATATTTAACCATAACATACTGTGATTCATCAAACAGCACAAACTTTCATTTCATGGAGTTTATCTGTTGACGTTGATTTAAACTGTCACTTGTTTTATCATGTGGGAACATAAGTTATGTGGTCAAAAATATAAGGATTTTGAACTAATGTTGATTTAAGTTGTATTGTCTTATTGTATTGTCTTTTCAAAGTGCTGCCAGTTGAAAAGGGAAGCATTATGTTTACAAATCTGTTTGGAAATATTTGCCAAAATTTTGGTAGTGTCTTTAATAAAGATGTTTGTCTCCAGCATCCAGAAAAATAAATAACTTTGTTGTGTGTCACTGTAAACCAGAAAAATGTTGGTTATCTGGAATACGTGAGAGAGCATGTAGATTAACTTTTCTCTTTGGAGTTCTAAAACATTAACTGGAAAGATTAGATAATATACTAAATGTATGCAGATGTATACAGACTATACAAAGACTGAAACAAGACCCTTTTGCACTACAACTCTATAACAATACTGCAGAAATTTTGTTTCTATGTAGCACGGACCTCCTAGGGAATTCTATTTCTTTTAGCGTTGAGATCCCTGGTGCTCTTTTTTTTACCTCAGAATTGGTACAATCATTATTAAACTTTAATTTATTTCAAACTTTTTAATTGGAAAAGGAAAGGGAAACTTAATTGGGGATAAATCCAGGCATCATATTATTATGATAGAGTCTCCTGAAAGGTTTGTCTGTAGGTAATGAAGTCATTGGTGTTATTTCTTGGACATCTTGGCCTTTTAATCAAAGATCGTGTGCTGCTATTTGTGATGAGCAAGGTTTCTCAAAAGCAAAAGGTGCTTAGACCACTTGCATCACCTGAGTTAGAGCCTCTAGGCATAGGGCCCAAGTATCTGCATTTTCACAGGTTTCCTATAGGTGACATTTTGCAAGCTAAAGTATGAGAACTACTGGCTTGGATGTAGCTCTAAACTTTTAGGTCTCTAAATCTTGAAATCTTGAACTGAAGGTCAACTATTGGCTTTTCTTCTTCTCTTTTTTTTTTTAATGTCCATCATGTCAGCAGGTGCAAATCACTTTTCCCCTTTGCATGATTTGAGGCACCTCCTCACTTGTTTCACTGCCAACTCTCATGCAGAACCTGTTTACAAACAAGCCTTCCAGTTGGTGAATGGTTAGCCATTGGAGCTCCTGCCCATCGGCACATCTTCTGGTTTACAAGTTGGGTAACAATGAAAGCTGGAGACGCTAAATGGAAATCCAGCATTGCATATCCTTAGACCTGATCCCATACCAGTAAAAGCCTTAATTTAGATGTTAGTTGTATGTGTTGGACAGATCCTTGCAAAAAAGTGTCTGTCTGTTAGTTGTAAATTTGAAAGTTGTAAATCTCTGAATCTGCTATTATCCAAGTTTTATCCCTTTTAAAGATGGGGCATCAGCCTATTAAAATATTTATAATCACTTTTCATTCCCTACTGCAAGACTTTTAGATTCTTACAAATGATTGCTACAGGAATAGTGGCCACTAAATGTCGGTTACTCTGGTGGAAGAATTTATCTCCTTTTTTGTTTGTTTGTTTGTTTGTTGTTTTTCTTTTTTGGAAGGGTAATTAGTGTAAAAAAATCAAGATTAAAGATTAGAGAATGAGTTGTATAGTTTTTTTCCATCACATTTCATCTCAAATGATTTGAAGGACTTTTGAAGATTTTTACCAACATCCTTAAATCAACTCCAGATTGAATAAACAATTGGTTTAAATCAAACCAAGAGAGCATTAACAGATGTGGGTTTTTTGAAAAATATAGGCACAGCATTTCCTATCTTGTTGATTATTTATTCCCCTTTGAATACTTTAGAGGGGTTAACTTTCAACTCTTTAAGTCGTAATGGATGTTTTATACTTGTTCTCACAAAATTGTTATGGTCAGTTTATATCATTGCTCCATGCATTGATCATAAAAATTCAGTATTAATTTTTTCTCTGATTGATCTTATAAGCTTTATAGGAGTTTTCTTTTCCCTTATAAAGTATTTAACCTTATTATATAAAACAAATGCCTGCTTGCATATTGGAAGATGTTGAAATTAGTTTTAGACAAAAATGGTCCATCAGTTCAGACACTCTGCTTGGATGCCTTACCCTTTTCATTAGGGCATTCTTTGCTTCTGAAACTTGGCAGAAACTCTTTAGCCAGTCCACTGCCTTTCTGACAATGTATGGAGTCACGTATGCTTGGTATATGCCTTTACTACTTTTAAAGTTCTACAGTTTGTTACTTGCCCAAGTGTTACTAAATCCTTTTCTTATGTGTACTGAATGGGGAAAAAATTATAGCCAGCACTTTGAGAGGAATGTTTTGGGAAAGGATATTAACTGGCACTACTAACTAAAGGCCCCAGAAGATGCTGTCAATGTTATTTGTAGCCTGAAGATTGAACAAGGCTGTGAGGCTCATTTCAAACTATTTTGAGGTGTTAAATTATCTGTATGCTGTTTCTCAGCTGTTCCACTCAAACCATGTTAGGACTCTCGAAGGTAAAATGTCACAGGGGCTTTTCAGTTGTTACTGAGCTCAGCAGCTATGGTGGCCCCTGTTCTACACACCAATTTCAGTTCAATAAAAATGTTAACTTTGCAATTCTGGTACTTGTTTTTCCTTTGTCTCATTTCAAGCCTCTGTGTCTTAAAAAAAAAAAAAAAAAAAAAAACCATGACAGAGTGTTCACAGAGATATTGCTTATTGGGGCCCTAGGAAGTGGGAACAGAGAATCTGTTCCAGGGATCTGCCTGTTTGTAAGTATAGGACACGTCCTCCAGGGGCAATTTCTACTAGGAGAACAATAATCATAGTTACCATTTATTGAGGGTTTCCTCTTTGTTACATATTTTTGCTACATTATCCCATTTCTCACCACCTTTTATCTCCATTTTACAGGTGGGTAAACTAAGGCATAAAGAAGTTAAGAAACTTGCCTGTCACGCAGTTAGTACATGGCAGAGCTTGGGAAGTCAGACCGCAGCATCTGTGTTCCTAACCACTTCTCCATCCTAGCCCTCATATGTTTATATAGAATAAGACTAATCTTTTCAAAGTGATAATTCCAGTGATACCACACAGGCTAGACAAGCCCTTTTGGTTCCAAAGGCTAGAATGTGGGGATCAGAAAGATTTTCAGTGGATTATTTTGGGGGAGTTGATTTGTCAGAAATCACAGAATACATTTGAAGGGAGGCCAACACACTCTTTGAGAAAAGGTTGATTCCCGTATTCACTTTACTTTCAAAAGTGTACGGTTAACAACAGGATATTTGAAAGTGGGCAGTGGAGGTAGAAGGGAAGGGTACAGTCTTGTAATCATATCATTCTCTCTTCATACCAAAAGGCTATCTCAGGAACAGACTCCCGCTTACCAGTCTGAGAAGACATATGGGCATTCTCCCAGCTGAATCCTTAACCTCTGGTTTCTAAAAATCTTCTGAAGGAATAATGTAGGAGGAAGGGAAGAAAGCCTCAATCAAACATTGGTATTAAAAACCCAGAGGGAGTAATGTGGGCGGTGTCTCTGGCCGTGTTTATAAGAAGCCTCAAGGATTAGTGAGGTTCCCAACACCATGACTATCAGGTGCCCTCCCCAGTCCCTTATCCCACTGGACCTTCAACAGGCTCCTGTCCTCAGCTGTAAAATGAAAATATGCTTTCTTACTGAGGCATGCAAGGGGTTTCACTGTTGTTCGTAAAAGCACTTGGGAGTTCTGTGAAAAAAAAAAAAAAATCATTCTTTAAACTACAGAATATCTGCTGAATGCAAGAAGGAGTGTTTGTTGAAACATTATTTTCCATGTAAGAATGAATTCATTTTGACTGATTGCAAGGGGGACAAAGGCAGAAACTAGAGGTTTCAAGGTGAGGTGTTTGTTAGGGGTTTGTTTTCTTGAACACTGGGTGTACACATGCCTGCTCTACTGGTTTTATCTTTCTGAGACTGGGACAGGAAGCTGACTGGCAGTGGCTGTAGGCTCTGACATGATTGCTTAATTCTCAAGTTAGGGATCAGATGATTCTGCCAGGTGCAATACTGGAGATGTGTCATTTCAACTCCTGCCTGCCTCCTTCAATTGGCCAGCCTGGCTGGTTTTTCTTACTGTAATTAGATGGTTGGTACCCTGTGAACATTTGTAGATGGACAATAAGAACTTCACGTCTAGGACTATGAATGTAGAAGAGTGCTTCCTACAGATGAGTCCACATAATTGGCCAGCATGTTGCAGTTCTACAGCTGGGGCTTCTAGAAGTATGCTGACTGCCCTTCTAGACTTCCTTCATTCCAAATAGGCTTACAGAATCTCGTTGTGGAGCACATGGATAGCATGATCTACTTTATCAGTCTGGTTGCCTGTTCCTCCCACTCTTCACACATCGGTCACACACACCTCCTTCAGGCTCTCCAATACTTCTTGCTTCTCCTACCCCAAAGGCCTCCTGTGCTAAGTAGACTGTACCACCACCACCACCCTCTTCCCCTTCCTCACTTAGCTAAGTCCTCCATATCCTTAAGCTCTCCACTTAGGCTTCACTTCCTTCAGGAAGTCTTCCCTAAACCACCCCTGGCCCCTACCCCACCTCCACCCCCTGCACTACCCAGGCTCCTCTAGGTATATACTATTTCATTCTATACTTCTTCTTTGTGACATTTGTCATAATTATAACTGGATACTAATTGCATTATTAAGTCCGTGGGAGAAGAAACTGCTCTGTTCACCAGGGTATCCCCAGCCTCTAGGCTAGTGCCTGCCATATAAAAGGTGCTCAATAACAATTTATTAAAAGAATGAATGAGGCAGACTATTTCTATCGGTCATATTTAAAATTCACGTGGCCCAGGGATTTGGATTACTCCAAGAATCTTCTCTGTCATTCAAGTTTGTGTTCTTGCACTTTATCTTCCCAAAGTCATGACTAAGAATCAGTTAATGATGGCAGACTGGCACCCATGACAAACTAACTGATAGAGTTTCGATATTTGTCCCCTCCAAATCTCATGTTGAAATGTGATTCCCAGTGTTAGAGGTGGGGCCTGGTGGGGGGTGTTTGGGTTATGGAGACAGATCCCACACCAATGGCTTGGTGCCCCTCCCATAATAAGTTCATGGCATATCTGCTTGTTAATCTGGCGTGTCCTCTCTCTCACCATGTGACATACCTGCTCCCCCTTTGTCTTCCACCATAAGTAAAAACTCCCTGAAGCCCTTCCCAGAAGCAGGTGTTGGCACCATGCTTATTGTACAGCCTGCAGAAATGAGCCAAATAAACCTCGTCTTTATAAATTATCCAGCCTCAGATATAACTTTATAGCAACACAAATGGACTAATACACTGACTTGACTTTGCAAGTCCATTTGCCATGTGATTTTACTGACATTTATTTTATGCCTAGCCTTTGTGTAATCCTCCAAGTGGTAGACATTTTGAGGATAATCGAAGTACTTTGGGATGCCTGTAACTGGAGAGCTAGCAAAGCCCAGTGCTGTTGATGGGCTGGGCTAGTTCTCCATTTACAGGAATCCCAAACCTTCACGTTGTAGATGGTGAAATGAAGACGTCTAAGTGACAGCACACGGGAGAGCAGGATAAGACCGCAGGAGCTTACACACTCTTCTAGGTGGTGCTGAGAACAGCCCAGCAACCACCGGAAAAGGATATGAAGACAAGGAGTGGTAAAGTACCAGGGAAGCAGTGCTATAGCACAAGCAGTGGGCACAGAGGTTCAGAGCAGGGAGTCGAGCCAGTCAGCTTGACTTAGAGTCCTGCTCCACCACTCACAAGCCACAGGCCGTGGGCATGTTTATAAAGCCCCAGATCCTCAGTTTCCCATCATGAACAGGATAGTACCTGCCTTGGAGGTTGCTGGGCTGACACATATGTAGCGAGGTGCCTGGCACCTTGTATGTTTTCTGTATGTATTTTTATTGGATACTTTATTTCTTTCCATCTTTTATTCAGAGGTGGAAAGCTTTGTAGCAATATTCGTAGCAAAGCAGCCAGCTAGAACTGAACAACCCTATTAGGTTAATTTAGATATTTGCATAAAAGTGATTGAGCTCCCCTGGTAAACGGACACAGCCCAGAACATTTTAAAGGCTCTGCTATTGATTGCTCTGTGAAAAATCCTATTTCTCTATGAAATACATTTTTTTCTATGAATTTTTTCAAGTACCACATTCGTTTCTCTTGGCATCTTGGCTACCAGTAACTTAGACACAGTGCTGATGCATTTGTTCTAAACTTGAGCTTAACTTTGAATACTCTATTCTCTTTTCCAGTTGTCTTTATAAAGGACAGTTTTTAAAAGAGCCTTTTTGTCTGGAAGCCTAAGTGCTTCTTGCCACCTAGTTTACTAGGGGGGTTGTTCATTATAGGTAAGATGCTTTGGATAAAAGGCTGCCGTGAAAATCACTTTTTCTTACACCTGTAAGATTTTCCTTCTCCTCCCAAGGATAGAGTTAATTTAAATCAGCCTTGTCAAAGGAGTGCCAAGAGGGTCTCTAGGGGTCTCGTGGCCACCTGAGCTTCAGAACTCTGCAGCTGAGAACAGCCGTAAGGAGACACTAGGGACCTTCAGCAAAGCCACCTTTTTCTCCACCCTCCTCCTTCCCTCCTCTCTCTCTCTCTCTGCCCCTGTTGACAAATCTTTATGACTGTGGTAGCCAATTATCATCTGCTCCTCCCTTCCTTAACTCACATCCCCACCTGCTCCTCCGTTCTCGTCATTCCCTCCTCTTGCCTGAGTGAACTACCCCAGCTCCCCTCTTCTGTTAACATGCACTTCTTAACCATTTTCCCCTTGTCTTTGGTTAAAAATGATTTGACATATAGATGGTGACAAGGCCAGGTCAGGAACAGGGACCTAAAAGCCGTACATGAAAAACTGCGGAAGGCAGATAGAAAATGCTTTATGGTATTGGAGGAAAGAATGGAACACGGAGTCCTCCACCCTGGGCCTGAGTTCCTGATATTCACCTACCTTTGACCCAGAGCAATTTGCCCAAATCCCTAGATCTCTTTCTTTCATCCCTGGTAAAATAATGCCTGTGAAGATTAAATCAATACTGTCACATTGACCATGAGGGACTGGATAGGGCAATCACAAAGCACCAGCAATTGTCATGTGTGTCCCTACAAACCTACTTTTTGGGGGCTGTTTGTCTTCAGAGATGAACTTTCTGGCAGGTCCCAGAATTCCTCGCAGACAACTACTTTTAAGTAAGTCCTGTATTCACTTTTAGCAAGGGCCTAATTTCGGTTAACTTGCAAGTCCAGTCGTGTAACAGCCACAATTCCGAAATCCACTTAGAATGGAATATTCTCCCCTCATCCAGCTTAGGCCTGCTTTAGGCTGGAAGCCAAGTGCTATTTGCCATTCTCCCCACTCCTCCCACCACCCAGCATTTCCCAGAATGAAAGGACCGGAAGGTAGGGAGGAGAGATAAGGAGTATGAGAGGGCTGATTGGATGACACACTTCAAGTCCTTGGCCTTGGTTTCCTTTGGGCACTGTCAGAGCCCACCCTGGGTGCCTTGGACTCCTCTGGCCTCTTCTATAGCCAGCCATTGCAGCGCCCCTCAGCATCTGCCTCCAATAGCATACCACCGTCACTTCAGGCAAGAAGGTAATAGCTTACTGCCCATTTTAAAATGATCACACTAACATGCCAACTAGAGGTATCCCATCTGGTCACTCACCCACACTTCCACCCCAGTCATAGACCAATCAGCACTTTTGGCTTGGTATCCACGAGTGTAGTGACTTCCAAATGCATCCTCGACTCTGCTAGACCTTTATTTTCAGGCACGAGTCACATGCCAGCCCTGTGTGTCCCCCAAGCTTGAGGAGTCACAGATTAGTTTTTCTGAGTGGCCTTTATGAAGCTGGTCTCTTTAACCTTTGGCAAGAGGGAAGCTCACTGTCACCCTCTATAGAAAGCCTCTGATTTCTAACACGAGCTGACTTTTCTACCTCCATCCTTTACACCAGTGACGAGCCAGAAGCGAAGGGAAGAAAAGCTGGCTATTTTTACTACCCCCCTCTGTGAGTCCCGGAATATATGGTTCAGAATCTGACGTACTAGTGTGGAAGTGGTGGATGTAGATGGCACAGCTTGTCTTGTGACTTCAACCAAAGCTGTCAGCAAGTCCTACGTGAAACCCTCTTATATATATTTGCAAGTTCCTCGGTCATAGCATCTGTGCATTTGTTCCACAAATATTTGCGTAGGCTTTGTGCTAGGTGGTGGGAGGACACCATTGAACAAGACAAAGGCAAATGACACAACTTGATTCCAGTTGTGGTAAATGCTCCAAAATAAAAGGTTGGCTGCGAGAATTCATAATTCTCACAGGGGCGTGGCGCAGTGAGGGAGTGGGTTCAGCTTCCCAAGAGATGGCTGAACCTACTTGCCGATGAGAGGAGAGCTCCAGAAAGAGAGTGGTAGACAGGCCCTGAGGCAAGATGGCGTTTAGCACTCTCTGAATGTGTTTGTCCAAATCACTCCTCATTAGCAAAAGCTATTCAGGGTCTCGCTTTCTTGTTGCTGAACTTGTTCCTTCAGTGGCTAGTTTGCCTTTAGCATGCGTTTCTGGGGAGGTGAAGGCCAGACACGATTTCCCCCTGAGGCCTAGCATGTCAGGGTAGCATCTCCTCAGTGGTGTTTCCGTATTTGAGATTCTTATCTGTGGTCTTCTCTTGTTGCTAATTAGTTCTGAGGAAAGTTTCCAAATAGACAGATACCATTTTAGTATTTACTATTTATTTAGTGGCCAGCGGACCTCAAACTGACCCAGGGATTTCACAAGGGAAAGTCTGAGCTGGGGAGGAACGGTGACTGCCCTCCCAGGACCCTCCATCTTCCTGGAGGCCAGAGGCTGGTGCACAGTGAGTGCAGAGAGCCCCTCCCTTGTGGAGGTTTCTGGGGTTATAGCCCTATCACTCTGGGGCTCTCAGAGGTAGTTTCTCTGAGAAGAGACATAACATCTGTACTATTAAAATTGCCCCTGAGTTCTCTCTGTTGTCAGCAGCAGGTGAACCATCTGTGCGGTGTGACTCTAATGAGGTTATTGGTGGGCAAGCAGGAAACTGAAACAAGAGACCTGGAGAAAGATGCCCGAGGGTCAGAAAACCTGAAAACGAGCCCTTTTAGGTGTGAAAATGAACAAGAGCAGGGAAGTGCAGTAAGTATTTTCTTACAAGGCCACTTGACAAGGTACAATGCTTTATCCCTTTTACAAATGTTTCCAGACGTTCTCAATGGGTCCTTCTTTTAAACTATTTTTAGCACGAGGTGGGATAAACCACCAAGAAGAAACAGGCCCAGAAGGGTCCACTGGTATCAGCGCTAGACAAGAATGCAGGTCTCAGCCAGGTGTGATGGCTCAGGCCTGTGATCCCAGCACTTTGGGAGGCCAAGGCAGGTGGATCATCTGAGGTCAGGAGTTCAAGACCAGCCTGGCCAACCTGGTGAAACCCTGTTTCTACTAAAAATACAATATTTAGCCAGGCGTGGTGGTGGGCGCCTGTGATCCCAGCTATTTAGGAGGCTGAGGCAGGAGAATTGCTTGATCCTCAGAGGCAGAGGTTGCAGTGAGACAAGATCGTGCCACTGTATTCTAGCCTGAGCGACCGAGCAAGACACAGTCTCAAAAACAAAAAAGCAGGTCTTGTCTCCCCATTATACCCACCTCCCGTCGGCCTGCCTTAAATGCTCATCCTCTCAGGATTGGTGCTGGGCCCCAAGATTGGCCTGGTAGCTGGGGGGACCCAGCAAGGTCTCCTCACAGCCCACTCATGTCCTGCGTCCTTGAAATTTAGTTTTTCTCCTAAGGGTATTGATGCTAACCCCTCTCTACAGGAGGTACCATTTCCATTGCCCTGCTGTGCTCTGAGCCAGGCACTCCTCATTGCCCTGGCTTCTTCAACCAGGTAAACACTCGATTTGCTATGAAAATGCCTGCCTTTCTGCTAACATCACCCTTGAGTTGAGGCCATTCCACAGAAAACTGACAGCCCTCAGGGTCCCACCCACTATTGTAACCACCCCTCCTGTATTCTGCCTGGAGGTGGGACGCAATTTGTCTTGGACAGACTGTTTCCACCTGTTGTTGCAACTTATGAGAATTGCTGTTTGCATTCAGCTCAGAACAAACGGAAATCTGCGTTCTACACCCTTGTTCTGTACTCTGAACTATCAGCCATACATCCAACTGATGACGACAGGGATAGCCTGACAGCCATGCTTACCCATTGTTCTTCAGAGCACCAGTTCTCAGAGTGTGTCCTCTGACCCTCGGCAGCAACAGCAGCACCTGGGAACCTGTGGGAACTACAAATTCTCGGGCTCTGCCCCAACCCTGCTTAATGGAAAACTCATGGGGTAGAACCCAGCAATCAGTGCTTTAACGAGTGTGCTAGGTGATTCTTACTTGAGGCTGTTTGTGTTCTCTGCTGTCTTAGTTCATAAGAATCGCCTGGGGAGTTTTTAAACCACACCACTGCCCAGGCCCCCACCCAGACCAAGTGAACCAGAATGTGTTGGGGTGAGTCCTAGGAAGAGGGTGTCTGTAAAATTCACCAGGTGATTCAAATGAATGGTGAAAAGTAAGGATCAGCTTCCTAGGTAAGACTCTGGCATCTCTCAAATAATTGCCGGGGAGTGTAGGCATTACCCAAAAGGAGTTCTGTAGTCTTTGTAGCATTTGAAAAATGCTAGATTTAACAGTTAACACTTATTTTTATGAAGGACTTTTTACACCTTTCATATGCTGAAATATTCTCCCAAAGCGCATAGAGACCGCAGTGTGCCCATTTTATCAGAGTCTCTTGGAATCAATTTTCCAAGGAACACAGATTTTGGAAGTGCTGCTAAAGGTTTTAGGCTAAAAACTATTTCTACAGCAAGTCAGGTCCCCAGAAGGCCATGTACCTGTGCTCTAGTTCCCTGCCTTTTTTTTTTTTTTTTTTTTTGAGACAGAGTCTGTCACCCAGGCTAAAATGCAGTGTGGCACAATATCTCAACGCACTGCAACCTCCACCTCCCGGGTTCAAGCCAGTCTCCTCCCTCAGCCTCCCGAGTAGCTGGGACTACAGATGCCTGCCACCAAGCCCAGCTAATTTTTGTATCTTTAGTAGAGATGGGGGTTTCACTATGTTGGCCAAGCTGGTCTTGAACTCCTGACCTCAAGTGATCTGCCTGCTGTGGCCTTTCAAAGTGCCGGGATCACAGGCTTGAGCCACTGAGCTCAGCCTAGTTCCCAGCCTCTTAAGCCATCTCTTATCAGAGCTAAGGCCCCTGTTAGTAATGGTGATAGAAGGAACATCCCGGTTTTTGTTTGTACAGTTGCTCTCGATGACTCTGTTATCCAGCATCCTTTATAAACTTATGTAATAAAGTTTTCTTAGAGCTTACGCTGGGGGGAAATATATATCTCTCTGGATGAACCACTTTTAGGAGTAGCTTAGTTGGGTGGTTTGAGTTTGGGGTCTTACACAAGGTTGTAACCAAGCTATTGACTGGGATGGCAGTTGTCTCAAGGCTTGACAGGAGCTGGGGAATCCACTTCCAAGCTGACTCACGTGGTTGTTGGCACTGGTTGTTTGACTGGAGCCCTCTGTTCCTCGCCATGTGCGATTTTCCACAGGCTGCCTGAGTGTCCTAACACACGACAGCTGGCTTCTCCCAAAGTGAGAGTTGAACAAGAGAGAACACAAGTGATCTTACTTAAGACGGAAGCCACCATCTTTTACAACCTAGAAATGCAGATTCTGATGCTAAATAACATTTCTCTTCACAGCTTCCCTTTAGCAATACTTACTTTAGGATAGGACCACAGCCCTACACTTAGGAGTTTTTGTAAAAACTAGAATTGCGATTCTTATTACTGAGAAGCTTTCTATTTATCAGCTGTTGAGAGTTAGTTAGCTGATTTCCAGCTGAGTGAGATACAGTGCCCACAATGCTGCCAGTCAAGGTTTTGCCTCTGCCAGCCTGTCCCAGGCAGAAGCATCTGATGTAAAAACATAAAGGAAAGAAAAAATGTAAGAGAAGGCAGGACTAATAAGTAATTAACTCTTATGATTGTGATAGTTTGCCTCCAGAATCCTCATTCATTCATTAAAACCAATGGTACAATAGTTATGGCACATTTCCCTTGTTGTGACACCATTCTAGGTACTGAGGATAACACAGTCTCTGCCCTCAAGGGGCTCACAGTCTGTGAAAGTGAGAGCCAAACATTCCCAGGAGAAGAATACAGAGAAAGCAAATATTTAACAAATATATAGTTCTCGCTGTACATCTGGCACTGCTGCAAGCACTTTGAAAAGTCAGCTGCTCTTCATGATAACCTACACATGTTACCCCCATTGTATGGATGGGCCACAGGGAGGTTGAGTACTTTTTCAGAGCCACACACCTATTAATATCTGTGTCTCAGAGCTGGGCTTTGAACCCAGGCAGTCCGGCTGCAGAGTCAATGTTCTTCACCATCCTAGGCTGAAAAGTGTTGGTCTCTGATTTTTTAGTAATCACTGGTGCCAGTTAGAAATTGATCCACAAATAGTGAATTTTGATCACTACGTACTGGTGTGGACATTGACAAGTGACCTAAGATTATAAGTTCCTCTTTTCAGAAATTGGCCAGGCATGGTGACTAGCTGGGCACAGTGGCTCATGCCTATAATCCCAGCACTTTGGGAGGCTAAGGTGGGTGGATCACTTCAAGTCAGGAGTTTGAGAGCAACCTGGCAAACACGGCAAAACCCCGTCTCTGCTAAAAATACAAAAATTAGCTGGGTGTGGTGGTGTGCGCCTGTAATCCCAGCTACTCAGGAGGCTGAGGCAGGAGAATCGCAGAATCACTTGGACCTGGGAGGTAGAGGTTGCAGTAAGCCGAGCTCACACCGATGCACTCCAGCCTGGGCAACAGAGCAAGACTCTGCTCATAAAGAAAAGAGAGAAAGAAAAGAAATGTTTCCTCCAGCCTGTGTCTTTTCACTTGCACGGGACATCAGTGTTCCCAGAAGGGCATTCCAGACTTGTCCTGAGACAACCAACAGAAGAGGAGAATCCGAAGCTCTGCCAGGCATCAAGTCCAAATGATGAGGTAAAGATGGAAATCGGAAACCAAGCAGCAACATTGGAGGACCATCTGGTCTGGAGTATGACAGGATGTGGCAGAATGTACAGAACAAGGCAAGAGGGTCAGGCTGGAGCCTGTGGACAGCAGGTCCTGGAAGGTACTCAAGAAGTGCTGCCAGGATGGGAATAGAATCTAAAGGACACTCATAAGCAAGTCAATTTCAGTAGATTATCAACCTGATTCACTGACCATGACTGTTATGATGATCCAGTAACAAAAATGTGTCCTTTGTCTTTTTCTCAATGTGTTGTAAAATGTCATTTCTGCTCTGATTTTTTCTTTTCTTTCTTTTTTGTTTAGAGACAGGGTCTTGCTCTGTCACCCAGGCTGGGGAGTAGTGGCGTGATCATAGCTCCCTGCAGGCTCAAACTCCTAGACTCAGGGGATCCTCCCACTTCAGCCTCCCAAGTAGCTACGACTGCAGGCATGCCATTTTGCTTCGCTTAGTTCATTCAAAAACACTTGTTGGGGAGATAATAGATGTAGAACAGTATGTAAGATGCTGCTTAATATATAAGACTTGAGATCTACTTTCAAGGAACATATGGTGTAACTAACATGGGTAAGAAGAGAAATCTATAAATATAACAAGATGCATTTAATGAGGTCAATGAATGATCACCCATTATTATAACAGTGATGATGATGATGGAAGGCGCTATATAGACTGAGACGAGTATAATCACATTCAGATGAAGGGATGGCAAAATTAAAAGGAAAAAGAAGAAATCACGGGCATCATTTATCCTAAGTAATGAGGTAGGGTGGTGTAATGGCAAGATATATGCTCGCCCCTCAGGTCGTACAGTTTCTGTGTGCCTCAGTATAGCCACTCTTCTTTGAACTTCAGAGATTTTTTTTTCTTTTTCTTTGGAAAATTAGCTAATACTACTAACCTGTTGTAAGGATCAAGTGGAATAATGCATGTTAAGATCCCTGCACAATGCCTGGTTCATAGCTGTTTTGTATATGTTTATTTTCTTTCCAAATTAAGTCTACTTGTGTAATATGCTTCATTCCTTAATTGCCGACATCTGTTGTATTAACCATGTAACATATACAAAGACTTTTTAAAAAACAAATGTTCTGGCTGGGAGCAGTGGCTCACAGTTGTAATTCCAGCACTTTCAGAGGCCAAGGCGAACAGATCACTTGAGGCCAGGAGTTCATGACCAGCCTGGGCGATGAGGCGAAACTCCATCTCTACTAAAAATACAAAAATCAGCCAGGTGTGTTGGCTCTCGCGCCTGTAATCCCAGCTAGTTGAGAGGCTGAGACATGAGAATCACTTGAACCAGGGAGGCAGAGTGCAGTGACCTGAGATCGCACCAATGCACTCCAGCCTAAGTGATAGCATGAGGCTCTGTCTTAAAAAAAAAAAAAAAAAAAAAAAACTTACCTCTTGTTATCTGTTATGTAATCGATTGTATAACTTTTAGCTGTATATCATTGCTCTTGTTCTATTAACCTTATGTCTAAATGATGTACACTGTACTTTCCTGCCCCCCCCCAAAAAAAACCAAAAAACAAATGAGACATCCATTGTGAAAGTGGTTTTCAAACTGCCAGCTAACAACATGTAAGGAAACGGTATTCTCATCATGTATACCTTATCTTATGTTCCCTCACTTAGAAAGAAATCCCTGCCCTCTACCCTTTGAGTTGGAGACACCTTTAGCAGATTTGAACTGGGTTTTTATCTGGGTGAATCTTCAGGCAAGTTTTGTACTGACTGAAGGCCATTTCTCTGGAACACTTAGGGTTTGCTTGAGGCTGGCTTCGAACTGGGCCAGTGCTTTCCACAGAGGTGCAACAATGTACACGTGAAAAGAAAGTAGACCAGAATCTCCTGTGGTTGTGCTGTCTTGTTCCTCAGCTAAAGGTCATTCTTAATCCTTCTGTAGCTCCCAGAATGCTGTGTGCAGTGGTTTTTTTCTAATGTTCCAGGGAGGAAATGGCGTCTATAAAGCAAAGCAGGAAACAAACTCTTCACAGGAGCAAGAGACCACAAATGTTCCAGGATTCCATTTAAAACACTGCAAAGACGAGTTCTAGGGAAACTTATGGTCATGTTTTTCCCCCCGTTGAATTTCAGAAGTATATTCCTGGATAGAATTATGGCTGGGACTTTAACCATCAGCCTTCTGTGAAAGGGAATGGGAAAAGAGACAAGTCCATGAGCCAGTGTCACCACATGCAGAGGATGGGATTAAGCATGGCTGGGGTGTTTCCACTAAACCCAGGGACCACCAAGCTGAGATCAATGTGAGACTAACTGCTTCTCAGAAACATGGAAATCAAAAGCAACACTGAGGATGTCATGTGCACACTCAGACTGCTGTGAAGCACATGGCACTGAACACAGAGAACCCCTGGGCCTGACCTGCAGAGCTGACTCCTTCCCTTAGCAGCACCTCTTCTCAGGCGGAGCAGCAAACCCCACCTCCAGCAGAAGCCAACCAAGTCCATTTCCCACAGCCGCTGGCAGCCCCTTCATCATTCTGTGTATTTTCCACAGGCTGGACTACACAGAACTTATCAATTCAGAGAAGAGTTTATTTCAAAACTAAAAGTAAATTTGTTCTCTGAATATGATCTCATTTCCACATTTCCTAAGCCTACCACCAGCTTGAGTTTCCTTTTCTCTATTCATAGCAATTCCTTCATCTACTTTTGACTCAACCCTTATCAGAGCAGGGGTAGTTCCCTCAGACACTTGTCTGGAAAAACCATGTAAGTGACTCAAGAACAGACAACTAAGGAAGCATGAGCATTCCTGTATCATCCTTTTGGTCTGCTATACTTTATTTTCTAGAAGTGATACTTTTTTATCTAGCTTCTTTGTATGTAATAGCTAATAAGACAAAAACAGAAATATATATAATACGTATTTTACACAAATACATATGTATGTATACAAAATTTGTTGGCCAACACCATTATAATTTACTGCATAAGTTGTACACATTAAGATATAAAAGATAGCAATGTCTCCTTAAAAAGTTATGCCAAAATTAAAACCTATGCCACGTGGAAATGTTAAAGCCCATTGTTCCTAACATCTATTAAACTCTTTTGCTTCCTTAAAACATTCTGCACAGATACTGCCTAACTGGGGAAATCCATGCATCCTTTCCCTCCTTTTAGCCCCTAAAATAAAACTAGCTCCCTCAGCTCTCTCTGCCTACCCCCCAAAAAAGGTAGGTTTGGTTTTGATTTCTTCTCATGTGGTATCTCCGCTTATGCTGGGAAGTGGCTGCAAATGTGTTCACTGTGGCTCCCAGGCTTTTGGGGCTGGGAAGGAAGTTTTGTAAAATGTGGTTTAGCCTGGGCTCATTTTGGTTCCTGAACCTAAATATTTCTTGCCTCTTTCTGCTCCTACTCTCATGCCACTTTTATTGATTGATTGAGATGAAGTTTCGCTCTGTCACCCAGGCTGGAGTGCAGTGGCACAATGTCGGTTCACTGCAACCTCCACTTCCTGGGTTCAAGCCATCCTTCCACCTCGGCCTCCTGAGTAGCTGGGATTACAGGCACGTGCCATCAT